AAATAATTTTTTTTAACAAAAATTAATAAATCCGTCGGAATTCCGTCGGTTAACAGGGTCGTCGGAAATCCGTCGGTTAACAGGGCCGTCGGAAATCCGTCGGTTAACAGGGCCGTCGGAAATCCGTCGGAACTTATGCCCGTCGGAAATCCGTTAGTATTTCCGACGGATTTTAAATTTCCGACGGATTTTAAATTTCCGACGAGATAGAACCGACGGACCAGAACCGTCGGACAGCCGTCGGAATAAGGCTATTTCCGACGGATTTCCGACGGTTTTGTCCGTCGGAAACGGCCCTGTTTTGTTGTAGTGGATTGAGATTCTTGGAAATGGCAGCGAGTTCATAGAAAACTGGATCAAGATCTGTGCACCAGCCAAGAACAGGATCAAACAGGATTTTAAAGACCTGAGCTTCGACGATCAGTGCACCAACTGTGAGAAGGTACTCAATCTTTGCTCTGTTCTTTTTATTACTTTCGAGTAGAAACCGAGATTTGACTCTCTGGCGCGAGCAGGAAGCCGTGAATGTGTCGCTGGGGAATCTGTTGTCTTACCCATTTGTGAGAGAAAGAGTGGTGAAGAACAAGCTCGCCATTAGAGGAGCTCACTACGATTTCGTGAAAGGAACATTTGATCTCTGGGAACTCGACTTCAAGACCACCCCTACCTTTGCCTTGAGTTAAGAAAAAAGATTCCTACTTTTACTCTTATGTTGCTTATTCTAAGTGTTTTCTTGTGATCTTCCTTTGCTGCTTCTGTTTCTGTTTCAAAAGAAATCAATAAGCTTTAAACAAAAGCATTTTACAAAGTTCCATTTTTATTTGAGTTTATAACTCAAAACTCTCTACAAAGAGAAAGATACACTTTTGATACTTGCTTAAGCTTATACACAATAGATAAAGGATACACTCAAACCCCTCAAGGGATGGGATATACGACGACCTTCCCCGTGGCATGGTTCGTTTCTAGGTATGCGAAAGCATCAGCTACACGTGAGAACGGGAAGGGTCCTTTGGGATCAACCACAGGCTTCACCTTCCCACTCTCAATGTACGGGTTAAGTTTCTTCAAAACCGCGCCATTAGATGTCACAACAAATCGGAAACCAGGAGGCGTGACAGCTCCGGTCAAGGCCACGACTTTCCCTCCTTCCTTAATCACCTTTACCGCCTTATCACACATTCCTTGTGACAAACAAGAGATGATTTCAAAAGAGAGTTTTCGATTAAACCAACCATTGTATAATAATGTATGGTGTTTAGTGTTTACCAATGGCGTCAAAGACGACATCGAATTTCTCAGGCAAGTCCTCTATGTTCTCCTTTGTGTAATCAATGGCTAAATCAGCACCTAAGCTTCTCACTAGTTCAAGCTTCCCTGTGCTCGCTGTTGCAGCCACCTTTGAAGCTCCATACACTTGCTTCGCTAGCTGTATTCAGATATCGTGAGG